CCCCCCCCCCCCCGGGTAACTAAAATGTACTCCTGGTATCAAATCCACGTTTTTATTGGTGAGATTTTGATATGAAATTTTAATCTGCAGAAGGGAATAGATTTTCAAATTTCCATTCCCATTGTGCAACAACTTAGGACACTGACCTGTCTTAAACAACCTTCACCTGGCAGGTGGATGTTCCTTTTCTAATCACAACTGATTGCGTTAATGAATATACTTTCATATAATTTGATGCTTCGTGTTCACTGTTTGTGGAATTGCATGTCACGTGCATATTTATAAGGATCTGACTGACTGCGTACATATTGCATTTGGCATTGCTGTTAGAAAACTTGCCATATTACACAGAAGTTCTGTGCTGTGGTTTACTTCTGAAATTTTACAAAAATTTATAGGCTTTGGGAATTTTTATTAGGGAGTGTAGAATTTTAAAATAAATACCCTCTGAGCCTAATAACTAGGAAGTTTCATGTCCTTGCAATCTGGGTATATGAAAAAAAAGAGAAAAGGAAGAACTTATCTTCATAATCATGATGGAAATCACTTTCTCCTTCTTATAACTCAGATTCTACACAATTTCTCTGCTGTAGTATCCTGAATTTTCTCAGCTAAACCATGTTGTCTCATACCCAACTAAATTTTATTGGTCAAAGAAGCAATGCGTATATATGCCAAGGTCAAAGCTTCCTACTGTCTAGCACAATCTGTCAGATTCTTTAAAATCCTCGTTCAAAGCTATTTGAAGACAGTGTGAATATTTTCATCAACTGCAGTGGGCATTGGATCGGAATCAAAGATTATTTCAACGATGAGTTTTCCATCACACTTTATCTTGTTGGGTCCATACAGTGCATTTCCCTGATTTCTCTTCCTCATCAGGAAAATATAATGCAACCTCATGGGTGAATTGAAGCTTGGCAACTTATTTCCCTTCACTATTCATTCAAGATTCAGTGGCAAGCCTTCAAAATGGCCCCTTGACACAAAAAAATACGTTACTATGTCACTTTTCATGCAGTGGTTGTGGATTCTGTGTACTTTCACATGTCGAGTATAAGCATTGCTTCATGTTTATTAAAAGAAATGTGAGCTCATATACATACTAAATTTTATTGGAAAGAAAATCAGGCGAAGACAAGGTATATGTGTAACTCTCATATGACTTCTGGTTTGATTTATTCCATCTGAGTTCCCAGTTGAAATTTTGTGGTTTTCTCACTTTTGAGAACTTCTTCCTCATTGTTTGTAAACAAATGTAAAAAATTTGCACTGTATTATTCAATAAGTTGTTTTCCTCATTAAATTTAGTCATATCTGTTTTGCTATTCATTTCAAGAAGTAAGATTTATATGGGGAAAGAGAGTGTGCTCAACATTTTTGTGGAAACAATTTTTTCATTAGACTTGTTTGGTGTCACTAAATGTGCACAATGGGTAACAGCTAAATATTGATGTCTCTTACCAATTTGTTTGCCTCTATAGTTCATTTAGAAATTTGACACACTCTATTTGCATAGGGTTTAATTACTCTTAAACATCAGAGATCTGATCACATGAATGCGAAGGTGGCAATGTTAATTAACTAAGATACTAAATACTTTTGTGTTTCTGACAGTGTTACATGGATCAGAAAATAGTGTTAATAAAGTTAACTTACTGTGACAGGTGTAATTTCATGGATTAAGGAGGCACTTGTGCAAGTAACAAACTTAACCAGGATGCCTGGGCATTTCTTTATCGAAGTTTGAAATGTATCAGTCATTTTATTTGGAGAGGTTTTGGCACCGAAAGCTTATCGTAACAGGATTAACATATAAATATTATCACAGCCAGCAGGGTGTTTTAGAATGAATATTAACAGCAAATATTATGAATCTGTATGAGAATAACTAATTAAGCCCATCTGTCAAATATGATTTGAAGTTCTCAGTGCCATGCTTATTACGGGCTTGCAACAGTGTTCCAGATTAATGGTGAAGCAATTATAAAGTTCTCCCCAATTCTTCTGATTTCATTTTCAGGCAATAATAATTTTGTTACACTCTAAATCCTGACCCGTGAGATTATTAGATGGGCTTACTACTTGTAGCATCTGTACAGCACTTCTGTTCTTCTCTGAGAAGCATCTATCTTCCCTTCCTCTGTTGTCATGTAGATGACCAAAAAACTGAGTAGAAAATGATGTGATGGGAATTAACCAGTGGCTCAGAAATGTCACTTGGAAAACACTTAAAAACCGATTGAATCGGGGAGATACATCCTAATATGTGCCATCCTTTACTTACTTCCTTTGGAAGTTGGCTGATCCTTCCTTTTCTTAATTCCTCAGGTAATGAGGTGAATAGAATAGCAAGATGAGATTAAAGGAATATTGCATTTTGGGAACGTTTTCTTGGGTTAGTGCTGTTTGTTATTGAGCCTGAAATTGAGCGTCTCTGCTGTGCTAGTGATGATTAAGAAGAATAGCCAAAAGTCGAAGCTCTGGATTCCTGTCTGTTCTTCTCCTGTGTTTCCTGTTGGACTGGAAGCACGCCAGGTGGGATGGGTTTGGAAAATTACTGAGGTGGCTGAAGATGCAGGTTTCTTGGATTTTCCTCATCTGCAAAACATGATTGATAGCACTTTCCTGTATCCATAGCTTCTATGGAGGCGTTAAGCAAGATGTTCTGATATGGTACTAACAAGTGTCATGATCCTCTTAAAACACTTTATTCGTGTTTGCATTTTTGGGTACAAGTGTTTGTTATTATTGTTGGATTTTACATTACTGTTCTCTGTGCTTATGGCAGGAATGAGGCCATTGATCCAAGAAAGTGCAAAATAATTATAGACAAAGCTTGGCCATCTCTGAGTAGAACCTTAATGTCTGGATATGACCGTTTACTGCCTTATCTCCAAATGTATTTGAACTATCTCATGGATAAGCTTTGCTCAGCAATTTCCTTTTCCTATGCTTATTGCTGGAAATGTTACAAAGGTAGCATTTCCTTCGGTACTTCCTCCCTTGCACTCTTGGGTTACAGCTCTGCAGCACTTGAGGAGTTACTGGCTTGCACTGCTTGAAACCAGATGCTGGTCCCGCTATTAGTAGAGCAACTTAGTTTCATTTTGAACTACCAATGACCGAATTAGTCTATGATAATATTGACACAATAGAGACAATGACAGTATTTTCTCGGCTATATCCCTCATTTGTTCCTGTGTGTCTCATTATTTTCATTATACTGTATTTCAGTGCTTAATTTTCTTAGCACTTTTGTAATACAAGGAATTAACTCGCTATTAGGTAGTAACAGGGGACAGGAAAACGTATGGCAGCATTGCCTTTGATTTGCCTACACAATACTTTCTTTTTATTACATTTATACCACTATCCTCACTGCCCTATATTTCTCACTTTCAAATTTAACATTTAGTTAAACTAAATTTTAACATTTAGTTTAACTAAATTTAACATTTAGTTAAATGTTAATGTTGCTGTGTTGTAACAGCAGTCAGCTATTGCCTCACTCTCTCACTTGTTGCATCTGCCAGTGCATTTGATAGAATCCCAAGAGTGCTGTAACCCTAAAATGCTTCTGAAGCAAAATAAGCAACAAATTTGACATAAATAACAGCCTAATCGCCACAATAATTACATTATGCCTCTTGCTGGTGTTCATCAAAATGCTTCATAAAAATAGTTTTATGTTTTATATCACCATTATTTTTTTTTTCCTTGCTATTCATGTGCTCACATGACTTTATCAACTAGAGGTATATTATTGCTTGGAAAGAACATTTTTCTACTCAATGGAATTACAGAAAAGATGTATGATGAAGCAAAAAAAAATTTCCAGTGTATTTTGTCCTACTATATCACGTGTGAATCGCATGAGCTTCAGTTTGCCATGAAGAAACAAAAGCAAGAAAAAGACTGTAAAAAGACATGCTTTCAGATGGGTTATATTCAAGTATAGTATTGAAAAAGCTGCCCAGGCAGAACGGGTAAAGGGCTGGGCTAGGCTGTGTGTTTGGATGTTTTTATGACAACCCAAGAGATTATTTGATTATTTTTTTCTTCAAAAGATAGTGATACGTGAATTCTGAAGAAAAAAAGTTGTATTATATTGGGAGGGAGGAGGGAAGGGAGAAGGGAGGTATCTTTTATGTGATTCCAAAATTACTTTCTGAGAATAATGATGCAGCCCTAAAAAACTGGCTATTCACTCAACATCATTGATGCTGATAGAATACGTTTAGATAGATTTATATTATCGTGCAGAAATAATATGTTAATTTGATTCTGAAATGCCAAAGTTTAACTCCATTTATAGATCCTAGGCATGCGGGTAACAATCAGCTGTAAACATATCTATCCTGGGTAGCTCTAGAGTTTCATACTGTGTGCCATTTGGATTTTTCTTCTACCTGTGTTATTTGAAATCTCTCAGCTTCTCAGAGTTTGCATGTTGTAATGATGTGAAAGTATTAAAATCTCAGAAGCCATGTTTACATTCCACTGGTTGAAAGCAATTAGTCACAAA